CACACACACACACACACACACACACACACACACACACACACACACACCCCCCCTCTTCTTTTGGACATGACCAAACTGGAAAGGTTTTGCTTGACTATACATGTTCATAACATGATCTTCTTTCAATTACAGAGGGTGAGAAGAGAGAGGAAGACTTTTGCTGATTTAAAAAAGTTTAATTTAAAAATAATCTTTAAGTGTGGAGTAATCACTCCACACTACCTTACCTATTATTTCCTAGTAATTGCATTTATTTACCTTCCTTGGGTTTCTGTTGTTTGGGACATTTGTCAAATCAAACATTTTGCTCAAGACCAGTTTCTTTTTTTTTTTTTTTAAGAATGCCCCAAACGTCTATTTTATTGAATGTCCATTTTTTTTAATTGGCTTTCAAGTTTACAGAGTAAACTGTAATCGTTTTAAATCGTTGCTGATGCTGATTTGCTTTTTAGAATATATATTTCTATTTCCTTCTACAGTTTCTAGGACATTCAAAATAATCTCGTATTACTCTTTTCATTTTTATTTGAAGGTCTTTTCCTTAACCTCTTGTATAATTTGCTGTTTGCTATTGGAATTGTTAAATTTAACCTTATTCTGGAATTTCTTCTTGTTGATCTACACTCTCTTGGGAGCCTACAATATTCTATGTTTCATCAAGCATTGGTTCTCTTGTAATATTTGTTAAGAGAGCTTTGTAATCTCTTTGAGGATTTAGTACTTACTCTTCCTTCCAGTTTTGGAATTCTCTCTATTGATTTATCTGTTTATGCTCTGGATTTTAATTGAGTTTCCTTCTTCTTGAAATTTTTGGTATTTCAGTCTTTTTTTCCTTATATCACCCCATCGTTCACTTTCTGACTCCTCGCCTTTCTGGGTATACAGACCCTAAGCATAGGCTAGAAAGCAGCCTTCACCTTCTCCCAAACTGGGAGATTTAGAGTTTATAGGCCTAAGTAACCTTGAAGAATTAGAAGGAAGAACAGAACTAGCCCAATTGAGTTTCAGTCCCTTTTCTTTCAGCCCTTTTACAATCATGAACAGTGACACCACCCCCCTCCCAAGCCCCCCAGTTCTTTCTTTGTCTGTCTTTATTTCCTTCGTTTGGCTAGACTGAATTAGTCTATTTTTTTTTTTCCAGGTTTCAGGCATGGTGGGTCTGGTGTTCTGGAGGGGATGCCTAACCTATATTGTTATGCAGTAGATGGGGAGGCAGACAGGGATAGAATATGCTGGTAGTCTCTGGAACAGTATGGGTTTCCAATATGGGCTCCAGGCACAAGCCCATGAGACAATTTGTGTAGGGCATGGATGGAGGCAGATGGAAAAGGGGGTAGTGAACAATTTAAGGATTACCATTATTTTGTATTAATTCATGAGGATTTTTACTTTGTTAGGGAGTTCTCTCTCTCTCTTTTTCTTTTTTGGTTCCATGGATTCACCTGTAGTTATAACTCTATCTGGTACTTAATCCCTAGGGTTTATTTAGTTTTTGTTTTTTAGAACTAATGGGATCTAGAGAAAGTGTCAAGTCTGGTATCATGATCTATAAGTCCTTTGATTTATAATTCTTATTAAGATTCTTCCCTGTGGAAGAAAGCTTGAACCTATTTCTTCTTTCTCTACCATCCCCAAAAGAACTAAAAGAGAGAACATATCTAATATCTTTATTTTTTTCTCTTTACTGTTTCCTCCTGGGTCTACTACTTTATCATTGTCCACGAGGGAAACAAAGTCAAAACAGATTCTTGACCCAAATGATTCAGCAATTAATCAATGATTGTTCTTAAGATTAGTTTTTTCTCTCTGCCAAGTTGGTCTATCTCACTGATAACATGAAACATCCAATGATGACCTGCAATGTTTTATGTGTAACAATTATGTGTGACAATAACTCAGGCCCCCATCTTAGTCTTCCTAAATGTAAATTTGAATGGAACAATACCCATAAAAGCAGGGTCTTTCAATTTGAAGATTTTGAGATAAGTTCAAGGACCATTAAAAGTTTCACTTTTGTCATAAGAACACTGGGGGGCAGCACAGCATAAGGGAAAGAATCCTAGACAGAGGGTTAAGTGATTGAAGTTCAATTTCCAACTCTACTATGGTGTGACCCTGGGCAACTCACTATCTCTTCTCTGGGTCTCTCAGTAAAATAAGGGGAGTTGGATTAGATGGGCTGAGGGCCTCTCTAGTTCCAAAATTCTTCTGATTCAAGATACAGAAACATGCCCTAGCCTCCTTCCCTACAGATTTTGGAACACTAAGAGATTGCTCCAGGACTAGTCACCAGTAGGATGTTATTAAGCCTAGGTGGTTGGGAGTAAAGGACAAGTCTTGGGTTCTGGTTTCAGCTGTCATATGGTGTTCTCTTCCCAATAAATTACAGGTCATCAGTATTCATTTTTCCCAGAAATCTTCAACCCATCCAAAAGCTTAGGATAGCAATATATGTGAAGGGGGGGGAGAAGCAGAGGGGAGGGAGGTAGTATCTTGTTTGCAAAATGTCATTCCTACCTGGGCTGGCACATCGGCGACGGGATTCCGGTTAGATCTCCTTCGTGTGACGATGACTGAGGGTTTGTGTTCCGTGGGGCTCCGATCAGGCGCTAAGGCCAAAGGGACTTTCCCTTCCTCATCTGAATACCCCAGCTGTGCCACCTCTGGCAGATCCACCCTGCACACAGGGACTGACACAGGAATGATAAGAGGCACCATCCCACTGTCTTCTCGTGCCCGTTTGGAGGGGGGTGAGGGCCCAGCAAACTCCACCACGCTCTTGGCTGCAGATGCTACCACTGTCTTCCGCCTCTCCTCTAGGCCTTCAGCATCCTGGAAAGGGGAAGGGAGAAAGGAGCGATGGGACTGAAGACTGAGACAAAATTTCTTCATTTTCTGGTTGATTTACTCATTCCTCTAGCTACCACGTCACCTTTATAATACGTCATCTAATACAGTCATTCCCTTGTTCCTTGAATTTCTTATTAAGGTTAGGGTCTTGCCCCACTCTGTTTATGTGCAATCTTAACTGGAGTAAGAATGATGATGATAACGATGATGATAACAACAATAATAATAGCTAGCATTTATATATAACACTTTAAGGTTTACAAAGTCTTTCTTTACAAATAGTATCTCATCCTCAAAATAACCTTAAGAGGTATATACTATTATCACCCTCATTTTACACATGAGGAAACTGAGGCACACAGCGCTTAAATGACTTGCCCAGGGACATGAAGTTTGTTGTTGTTCAGTCACGTCCAACTCTTGGTGACCCCATCTGGAGTTTTCTTAGCAAAGCTACTGGAGTGATTTTCCATTTCTTTCTCCAGCTCACTTTATAGATGAAGAAATTGAGGCAAACAGGGTTAAGTGACTTGCCCAGGGTCACAGAGCTAGTAAGTTTCTGAGTCCAGATTTGAACTCAAGTCTTCCTGATTCTAGGGCAGGCGCTCTATTCACTGTGCCACCTAGCAAGTTATAGTCTTAGAGAGCAGCCCAGGACCCTGAGAGTTGCCAAGGGGCACACAAATAGCATGTGTTAGAGAAAGGACGAGAAATCTGGCTTCAAAACTTTGTAAAGCGTTTTGCAAACCTTAGTGTGAAAAGTTCCTTGGCCTGGAAGTCCTCTGTTTTAAAGGCAGCTCTCTAGCTATGATACTTCTCATTAGCAGTAGTAGCAGTAATAACATTATTGTTAATATTAATAACAACAATAAAAATAAATGAGTTATTCTCTCCTGTTATTTCCCAATAGGCACACTAGCTGCAGTCAGGGCAGTGGTATCCTCAAGGTACAAAAATTAATCATTCTTACTCCTACTCTTTTCCTTGAATGGCTTTCCCCCTCTCTTCTTCCTGTTTAAACTCATTTATTTTTTTCAGTCTTTCATAAATTTATTTTAAAGTTCATCTTCTTGGAAATATAGTTAGTTTCCACAATATGACTACTATGGAAGTGTTTTGCACGGCTACACAAGTATAACCTATATCAAGTTGCTTGTCTTCTCAATGGGGGGGAGGAAGGGAGAAAATTTGGAACCCAAAGTTTTAAAAACAAATGTTTAAAAAAAAATTGCTTTTTTAAAAAAAATTGTTTTCACATGCAACTGGGAAGTAAGATATGCAGGCAACGAGGTATAGAAATCTATCCTGCTCTATAGGACAATAGAAGGGGAAGGGGATAAGAGAAGTAGGAGTTGAGATAGAAAGGAGGACAGATTAGGGGAAAGGGCATTCAGAATGTATGCTGTCTTGGGACTGGGGGAGGGATGAGGGAAATGAACGTTGGAAACTAAAAATAAATAAATTAATGAATCTTTAAAAAAAAAAATAAAGTTCACCTTCTGTTTCTTCCATCTCTGCCTTCTCAACTGGGAAAACAATCCTATTCAAATCTTACATTCAAGGCATTTTCTCAACTCTCAACTTGAGGCCTGCTTTTCTTGTCTACACTACCTTCTGCCTTCTTTGAACTCCGTTAGTACCTCCCATCTGTTCACCCAAATTAATACCTCCATTCTCTGATATTTTCATATGTGTATCTTGTCTCCCCAGTAAGACTTTCTCTGAGGCAAAGGGCATGGTCTAACCTCTTTGTCTTTCACGAAGAGCCCAGCACACAGTTGTCCTCAATAAAATCATGCTGACAGTGCTTGGGTCTGGGCCTAGGACACTCTGGCAAAACTCTCTGTTGTATCTGCTATCTCTAGTCACTAATTGAAACAGCTTCCTTTTCTTACCACAGAGATTCCCCAAGGGGGAAAAAATGCCTTTTTGGCAAGGATACCCATACTAGGAAAATAGGTACACTAATACACTGTTGATGGAGCTGCAAATCAATGCAGGATGAGCCTGGAATATAACTCCTCTCCTCTGCATCTCAGAATCACTAGTTTCCTTCAAGAATCCAGTTTTAGCACTGCTTTCTACATGAAGTCTTTCTGAATCCCCTAAGCTACTAGTATTCCTGCCCCCAAATTGTCCTGTATCTATTTTGGGTATACATTATTTCTACCCTGATAATATGTAAACTCATTAAGGGCAGGGCCTGTTTCACTGTTTTTGTACCCCAGCACAATGCCTAGCAAACAACAGGTGCTTAATACATGCTTCGTGATTGATTGACTCAATCTTCAGCCCTTCTATACTCAACACATTCTGTCCCTGGCCTAGCTTCTGTATTTCCTCTAGAATCCAATTAGTCTTTCAACTGCTCCAAAACCCTTCTGGGGGAGGATCTCGGTTCTCACCATTGGATTCTGGAGTGAGGCCAGTTCCACAGCTTTCTGAGCCAATGTTAGCAAATTGGCCTCCTGGGAAGCCCGCCGCCTCCGTCTCGTGCTCTGAATCACCCCTCCTCGAACCACTCCAAAGTCACTGGCTCCCCAAGCATCACTGCCTTCAGGGGCCTCCCGCTCCCGGCCATTCTGGGCCAGTCTCTCCCCTTCAGGCAGGTGCTGTTGACCACCAAGAACTGCCCCACCTTGCTCTGACTGGGGCATGAGGTGGCTGCCCTTCTCATGACCCAGGGTTTCAGGATGGGGCTGCCCCAGGCTACCCTGGGGCACATGCTGCTGCTGTGACCAGTGATGCAAGAACAGGTTGCTGGACATCTCTTCCCGGGGTTGGGGACCATCCAGGGCAGTTGTGGATGAGGAGGGCGGTAGGATCCCTTCCTTGGAGAGCCGTCGGGAGCGCCTCGGGAAGGAGATCTGGGCCTGAGGTAGCACGGGTTGTGTAGACTGGTCCTGCATAAGGGCCTTCAGGAGCTCTGGGTTCATCTCGGGATTGGGAGGGAAGGGACAGGGCACCATATTGTGATGGGCCCCAAGGTGAGCCTGACCCATGGGGCCAGCTGACTGAAGGCTGAAGTCCTGGGGCTGCTGGGAGTGGGGTGGAGGTGGAGGTTGCTGCTGGGGAGGATAGAAATTCTCAAAAAGCTGCATCTGGGGGAGGGCCTGTTGTTTTTGTTGTGGGGGAAAGGCAGCTGGATTGGTACCAGGCGGGGCCTGTCGGAAAACATGGCGGTTCACCTGGTTCCCAAATGCCAACTGGAAAGGCTGCAGGGGCAATTGGCTCGGGGGTTTCTTGGCTGTGTGGAAGGAGTTCACTGGGGCCTGGGGCCTCCCCAGCTCCAGCTGTGCCTTTTGGGACATCATCTGCTGTATGGCATCATTGTAGGGATCCAGTGGCAGGATCCCTTTCTCCTGGCTTCGTTTCAAGGTCTCAGGGTGGCCATAGAAACCCGAGACCCCAACCCCAGGGTGAGGGGCCCCTTTTTGGCCACCATACATACTGATTGCATGGTTCCACAATGGGTGGGGAGAGGACTGGGACTGCTGCTGCCAGCTTGCATCCCCACCCCGTTCGGGCACCCGGCCCATCACTGAATTTGGCCACTTCACAGCTGCCACCGGTTGAGAAAGCATGGGAGGGTTACCCCGCTCTGTTCTGTAAACTACTGAGTTCAGCAGTGACAGGGTATTGTGAGGGGGTAGCTCAGTGGGCTGGGAGGTAGGGACGCCGCTAACCGGCCCACCGTGACCATAATACTGCCCCTCCTTCAGCTGCTGCTGCTCCTTTGTCGCCGTTTCTGGGTCGCTGAAAAACGGAACCCGTTTCCTTTTGTTCTGGGCCTTGGGTTGGGCCTGGAGGTTCATCGTGTGGTTTGCTATGCCAGGGCCAAGAGATACCAGCTCACCAGCTGCCCATCCCTCAGGGAAAAGCCCCTTGGAGCACGGGCTCCCCCGACCAGTGGTTGCCGAATGCTAATTTCCAGTTGCCAAAGGAAGAAAAGGGGGGGAATGGGAGAAGGGAGGAAGACCCAGGTGGACTTGGTCAGTCGCTCAAGGTTCCTTCTGGTTCTTCTAAAGGGCCTCTCAAATCCCGTGCGTCACCTCTTTTATCCTTCCCCAATTCATGGTGCCAAAATTTTCAGTGCCTACAAGAGAAGAAGGAAACACGTCAGTACTGAGGAAAACAATGAGCAGAACCTAGGGGGCAGGGGGAAACTCCCATTTAGTCACTATGTCCCTGTGTGACTGCATAAATCACCTCTCCACACACTGAGCCTATGACTTTCGTTACATTACCAGTCCTCAACTCTCTTCAGCACTGTCCATATATCTCCCATCTACTTGGCTGTCCCCCCAACAGATCTGGTCCTCTCCCAATCCAACTTAGCAGCCCTCAAGGCCTCCTGGTACATTCCTGATACTGACATCTGCAGCAGAGGCAGTGTGTGCAAAGAGGGAACCGAGGGAGCAGAGAGACAGTTGACTCTACATCAGCTGCTGCTATTTCCTAGGAAGCCACGGGAACAAAGCCTTTCTGCGTCCAAGACACAACAGAGTCTAAAAACGGTCTGGAATTCACTGTACCAGGGACCAACAAAGCCAAGATCTGAGTCTGGGTAGGGAAGGAAGGTCCTCAACCTGACATCTGTAGCTCTTTATAACCTAGGTGGTGGAGCAGAGTGGATAGGGTTTTATACTTGGAGTAAGGAAGACCAGAGTTCAAATCCCATCTCATACACACACACACACACACACACACACACCCCCACACACACTTACTAGTTGTGGAGGCACAGGCAAGTCACTTAACCTCTCTAGGATTCAGTTTCCTCATCTTAAAATGATGGAGTTAGACCAATTGGCCTCCAAGGTTCCTTCCAGCTCTAAATCTATGAATCTATAATAACTCTACCCTTCCAGCCTTATCGCATGTTATCTGTCTCCATTCACTTACCAAGAAAATCACACTGTACGACTTTCTTTCAAGGCTTTCTTCAAACAATTTCAGTGCATTTGGAGACAGAGGACCTAGATTTCAATCTTGGCTCTGTGATTTACTGCTGTGTGATGTTGAGCAACTAACCTAATCTCTCTGCACTTTTGCTTCCTCACCAATAAAAGAGGAGGGTAGGACAAGGTGACTTTTAAGATTCCTTCCCACCTCACAATCCATGATCTTTCCATAAATCCTTTAAAAACCGATCTTAAATGCCACCTCTTCCACAAAATCTTCCCTGATCCATCCATAAATAACAACTTTCTACTTCATGCCTCACATAGCACTCTGACTGTAATAGAGCAACTAGGAGGCGCGATGGAAAGAGTGAGGGGCCTAGAGTCAGGAAGACTCATCTTCCTGAGTTTAAATCTGGCCTCAGACACTTCCCAGCTGAGTGACACTGGGCAAGTCATTTAACTCTATTTGCCTCAGTTTCCTCATCTGTAAAATGAGCTGGAGAAAGAAATGGCAAACCACTCCAGTATCCTTGCCAAGAAAACCCCAAATGGAGTCACAAAGAGTCAGATGACTAAAAATAATACTAATGCACCTATCACATAATTTTGTGCATATTACTTTTTTTGGAGGTAACTGGGGTTAAGTGACTCGCCCAGGGTCACACAGCTAATAAGTGCCTGAGGTGGGATTTGAACTTTGGTACTCCTGACTCCAGGGCCAGTGCTCTATCCACTGTGCCACCTAGCTGCCCCTATATTACTAACAGGTAGGTGGCATAGTAGATAGCCTACTGAACTTACTAGTTAGGAAGGTCTGAGCTCAAATCCAGCCTCTGACACTTACTAGCTGTGAGACCCTGAGCACAAAGGTTAAGAATACTTAAACTGCTGCCTGCCTCAGTTTCCTCATCTGTAAAATGGGGTTAATAAGCATTTATCTCCCAAGGTTGTTTTGAGGGTAAAATCAGATAATACTTGTAAAGTGCTTGGCAAACCTTAAAGAACTATATAAATGTTAGTATTTATTATAATTGTTGTTGTTATTCATTAATTTATGTGAGTATCTAATTCCCCTACAAGACTATAAGTTCCTAGACAGGATGGGCTATGTCTGGTCTGAATTTATCATCTTAATTTTTTTGTGCTCAACAGTCACGTAATAAATATGTGCTCGGTTTGGCACTCCTATGGCCCCCTACCCACTAGCATCTTTTTGCTCAATTTGTCTGTCCTACTATTCAGAAGGATATGACAATCCCTTACACCTTTCTCCTCTCTCTGAGAGAGAAAGAGAGAAGAGAAAAGAAAAAAAAGAGAGGAGGGGGGGGGGAGAGAGAGAGAGAGAGAGAGAGAGAGAGAGAGAGAGAGAGAGCCATACCAAGATCCAGCTAAAGCTTGGGAGGGGGAGTATTTCCAAAAGGAAGGAGGACAGCTGCCAAAGGCACCACCAGGCCAGCTGAGCCCGGCTCTGGGCTTCTAGGCACATTCCTGACCCAGCCATTGGCTGCAGAAGTGGCCCCCTGGGAGAAGTTCTGAGAAGAGCCTGGTAAATGCACAGGACCTTCCAGTCTCTGGGCACAGAGGCAGATGTACAAAACTGGGTGTGCAATGGGGTATGAGCCAGAAGAGAAGACAAATGACCCAAGAGGAAGCTGCACCAGTCAGCCAGTTTCTGAGGTTACTTGATTGCAAAGTCAATCTGCAAGCATTTATGCAGCATTTACCAGGAACTATGCTAAACACTGGAGGTACAAAGAAAGGCAAAAACAGTCCTTGCCCTCAAAGAGCTCACAGTCTAATGTGTAAAAAAAACTATAAATAGCTAGGTACGTGCACAATACAAAGTACATGGAATGTAATCTGAGTAAGGAAGACACTAGCGGCCAAGGGGCCTGGGAAAGGCCGCCTACAGATGTGAAAGGCTTCAAGCACAGACAAATCTGGAGAGACCCTGCTTAAACCTCAAAGCCTCAGCTTCCTTCCATCCCCAGCAGCCAAAGCCTCCAGGATAGTGGAGGGAGTAAGGGAGGAGGGCACAATCTGAAAAAAGGATTTATTCATTCAACGAAGTTTAAAGTGCCTACTAGCCTCTGGTTGGAGGAGGCATTTGAATTGAGAGCCTTGAACAAAGTTGGGAATTCCAAGACTAGAACTTAAACAAATTCCAGCCAAGGGTGACAGTCTCAAGTCTCACTTAAATTGCACTAAGACAGGCTGGTGGTACAATGTGAAGGATGCTGGTGACTGTGGGCTTCCATCCCCTCAGAAGGGACAACAAGAAGAGCGGAGAATCAGTCACCAAGTGTTCATTAAGCACCTAGAACATTCCAGGCACCATACTAAGTGCTGGGGAGACGAAGAAAGGCAAAAGTCAGTCCCTGATGTCAAGGCGGTCATAATCTAATGGGACAAACAGCACACACATAACTGTGAACAAAGATATATAAAGGATAAACTGGAGATAATCTCAAAGGGAAAGTACTAAAGTTCAGGAGGACTGAAGGATGAGTTTTAGCTAAGACTTGGAGGAAACAGGAACGTGTATATGAGGCAGGAAAGTGATGCAGGCATGGGGGATAGTGGTCAGTGTAGATTCATGGAGTCAGAAGATGTAGAGCTTGGTAGTGTTCAGGGGGGTAGGGGCGTGAAATGCAAGAAAACTGGAAAAATAGGAAGGGGCCAGGTTTTCCAGTAGGAAAGGGCTTTAAAAGGCAGACAGATGATTTTATATTTGATGATGGAAGCAATGGAGTTGTTTGAGAGGGAGGTGAACAGACAGTCAAGTCTATACTTTAGGAGGATCAATTTAATGGCCAAGTGGACCCAAGTGAGAAGAGACTTGAGGCAGTTAAAGCCTCAATGTCCAGCTATGGAGTTGGGTGGGGTGGGGTGGGGTGGAGTGTGGGAACTATGAGAAAGGGGAAAGAGTTCAGAAGAAAGAACATGTCTATGACAGGGAAAGTCTGAGGAGGGAAAGTTATTTCTGCTGGGAGGAGGACACCACAGAAATGTGATAAAAACCCAAGAAGGAAACATAATAATAACAGCGACTCACATTCATATAGCACTTTAACGAGAGTTCCTGCAGATGGATCAGGTACTAGAAGCATCGGGCCTGGAAAAATCTTTGCTCTCACATTGTCCAAGTGGGACAGCCCTCAGCCATGTTTCATGTGCCTGGCTGTCCCACCCTCCCCACTCCCAGAAGGAAGGCTTTGCAGGGAGGAACTAACCTGCCAAGAGACCAACTTAAGGACTATCTCTCATCTGACCACTTCTTTCCTTACTCCCTCTTACTCCATGACCCACAGTGACTCACTCCTCCAGCTCTCTCTTCCTATCATCTTTCACTTTCACCATACATCACAGTAGGGTAGTAACTTCCTCCTTCTCTATTTCCTTCCTCAGCTCCCCACCCCCACGTGACCTATCAGAGTCTCTGGGTTTCCTCCCTTAGCAGCCCCTTCCCCCCCCCCCACTTCCCTAGGCCTCAGTTACACAGGACACTTGGTGCTTCTCAAAGTTCTGACTCGTTTAGAGGGAAAATTCTTTCTTCCATATCAGAAGAGACAAAGAATAGGGGACAGATGTGTAGAAAATACGGACCCCAGGAGCACTGAACAGGTGAAGGGGCAAGAAGAGAAGAGATTGAGGAGAAACTGACATAGAACTGGCTAGCCTTCTGAACAAAAACCTCTCTTGCATTTAAACACTTTTGCAACCAGCCCCAGCATCACTGTAGGGAATGAAGCGACCAAAGCACACTCAGGAAAACAACCCCCCCCAGAAGTGCCCTGAAACATCATGTTCATTATTGTGCCCATTGTTTGTCATCGGCGGAAGCATCCTTTCCAACCTGACCAGGCGCTGCCTTCAGCCAACAGTACTGGGCTGGCTCAGGCACTCAGTGTTTGCCGCCTCTGTTTCTCAAAGGGGAAGAATGGGAGGGGGGCAGAGCTGCTGAGGATTAGAAGTCCATGTGACTGCAAAGAAACTCTAAGCCTCCCCTGCTGTCCCCCTACTCTCCCCTGCCTGCCTCCCCTCCACTGTGACCACAGACCTTCCGGACAACCCCCATACAAACCACAGTAATGGGGCCTGGTGAATAAAGAGATGCCAGAGATACTTGGCAGGCAGACAGGCGGTCCAAGAGGCAGACAGCAGCCCTCTTCTGTGACTAGCACCACAC